GAGGAGGGCCTGGAGAAGGCGGGCGATGTGGAGGGAGGAGGCGGCGAGGGACGAGGGCGACTCGTGGACGTGGACGCGGACACCTCCTGCGGGAGCCCACTGGCTGCACGTCTGGTGTCCAGGTCTTCTCCCTACGAGTTCCACCTGGGAGAAGGAAGGGCAGGCCCCTTGCATCTGCGCGGACACCCAGTTCTGTGCCTGCCCGGTGGCTCCCGCCGGTAAATGACCTGGGGCCTCTGCAGGCCGCGCGTTGCCGCTGGACGGTTCATTCATTGAAGTCGGGCTGTTGGTATCCCAGGCCACAGCCTCTGGGCGTAACATGCACATGAGCATTTTTTTGTTGTTGTTCCGAATTCTGTAGTGTCTTTCCCCTTTGAGCCCTTCTTTCCCCTCTGCTGTGTGTGGGCTCCCTTGTGGCTTGCCTTGGGAAGGGCCTAGGTCTCCTAGGCTCATTAGGACCTGACTGGTTGCTTTTAAGGCTCCACAAGGTGTTTAACAACTTGTACCTGCAAAGACAATATTTGTTTTATTGAGATGTCAAGATCAGATGTCTGATTTCCTTTTGGCATAATCTGACTTCCTGGAGGAATTCTCACTGAGGGCGTGTGACTTCTTTGTAGTGTATACTGGTAACTCACAGGACCAGTGTTATATAGAAAAGGAATGGCCATTACCGGTGTCACTGTGATCTGAGTGCCCTTGTGCACACCATGGTGTGCACCCTCACTGGAAATTGCCTGGACGCTGGGTTTTGTTTTCCAACCGGGAACAGCTAAGGAAGGTAGCAGTGTGCAGGTGCTGTTCTTAGCTCTCAGTCTGCAGGCCTCCTGTGTTAGTCTATCAGAAAAGCTGTGGCTGCCTCATTGAATGGTAGCTTCTTGGCTCAGGTGGAGAATCCAAGGCACAGTGGAAGTGTGAGTTCCCTGAGGTCTAACTGGTAGGAGGAGCTGTCCACTAGGCCTGATGCCTGTTTTTGTCTTGGCTGCTGGTTGGTTGTTCGTGGGAAGGCACACCAGTAGTGTTCTCCAGCCTGTCAGTCATCAGTTTGCTTTTCCCCTCCCTCCTTGAGGCCTGTGATACACACTGGCTGAAGAGAGTCGGTTGGTGGCACTGGCTTAGATGGTTCACTTTGTCCAGCAGCATCAGGTTGTGCCTATTTAAGAATCCTTGTTTAAACCAACTCAGACTTGTGTTAGGGCCCCCCC